CATTTGGGAAATTTGTTGAAATAGATTAAAGGACTCTATCAAGTTCCTGATTCAGTAAGTTATTTTAAGTAGAATCTAGGAATACAGATTTCTAACAAAAGTTCCCAGCTGAGGATGCTGTTGGGACCACATTTTCCAAGTCACTACTTCAACTTAGTCTATGAACTATCATTATTCCTTTATAAGCTTTTAGTGAAAACTCTGTGGTAGGTGTTCTGAAGAGCACAGCCTATTTTTGTTTATAGGTTTTTTTGAAGTGTAATTTACATATCGTTAAATTTTAACCATTTTAAGTCGATCATTTGATGACTTTCAGTAAATCTCTATAGTTGTACATCCGCAACACATTCAGTTTTGAACAATGCCACCATGAAAGTTCCCCCATTTCACATTTGCTGTTGATCTCACCACCCACTTTCAGCCATTGGCAGCAAGTTATCTGCTTGCTTTCTCTGTGATTTTGCATTTTTCAGAAATGTTACAAATGGAATCATACATAATTGTGGGTCCTTTTGTGATATTTTTGAGATTCATTATGCCTGTCAAAGTCCTGCTTCTTTTTAGTACTATGTGGGATTCCATATATGGGTATATATTTTCTTTGTCTTATTAATAGTTAATGGATATTAACAATTGGGCTATTCTAAACAATGCTATTATCAGTATTATAAGATATGACCTATGGTTTTGAGTAACAGGAGTTGCACTACTTAGATGATATTAATCATTCTTCCTAGGCTTGCAGTTGATAAAAAATGTTAATATACTCTTGTTCCCTAAATATTATATATATGTTTAATAATATTTTAATGCCTACTACAGTTATTTTGTTTGAAATTAACTATTTTCTAATAATTTTATGTCAAACTATTATAAATTGATATATACTGGGCAATGAAAATTTTATAATTTTTTTTGGTATAACTAAAGCACAATAGATCTTATTCTCCATAAAATTGATATAGCTACTCTTATCAGTAGATAGAATTCATACTAAACAACCTTGGAATAAAGTAAAACAAAGAAATAAAATTTATCTTTTGTGGGACTGACAAGATGGCTCAGAGCGTGAAGATACTTGGTGCCAAGTCTGATGACCTGAGTTCAATCTCCAGGACCGGTGTGATAGAAGGAGAGAACCACTCCTGAAAGCTGTCCTCTGACCTCCAAGCATTTGCCCATACCCACACACAACACACACACACACACACACACACACACACACACACACACACACACACACACACATACAAATAAATGTAATTTTAAAAGCTCTTTTGATTTTTGAAATATTTGGACACAGATAAAAGTAATTGGTTAATGAATTCCTGTGTACCTATCTCACCTAATTTTAGTCAATAGTTTGGCTTCTTTTTTTTTTTTTCATCATGATTGTCCCTCGTCATCTGTTTCTGGTATTTGGTACTAAATCTCAAAAGTGTACCATTTCTTCTGTAAATATTTCACTATTGCAGAATGATACTGACTGAAGGGAAGCAGTTTTACCTTTACCAGATGATCTCATTAGCCATTCATGAAAGTTTCCTAGGTCCTCCATTCTGTCATTACTTTGCATTTCTTCCATAGAATTATCCTATTAAGGAAATCTTTTATCAACTGTTTACTCTGAAATTCAATTTTTTTTTTTTTTGGCCTTTTTGAGACAGGGTCTCCCTGTAGCCCCAGCTGTCCTGGAACTCACTATGTAGACCATGCTGGCCTTGAACTCACAAAGATCTGTCTGCCTCTGCCTCCTGAGTGCTGGGATTAAAGGTGTGCGCCACCACGCCCCTCCTGGAATTCAATTTTTATGGAAAAGGAATGACAAAACCTTGCTCCTGTTATTCAGCTTATCAAATTTCAGAACATTCAGTATCCCAGCAGCCTTTGAATGTAATTGAGTTTTAACAAACCATCATAGACTCCTGGAGTTCATGTCCTGGGTCCTTGTAATCCACTTCAGTATTGTTTTTTGTGTCATATTGCTGCTGACAGGAGGGAGCCCTAAAATTTGCTTCTGTGTTGTTTGTCCTATCTCAGTATTATTTAAATATGTTCTTTTTCTCTTATTATGTATGGTTCTAATACATTAGTATTACTGGATTCTTGGCTCAGAATTTCCAAAGCTTCTATGATATATTTTCCAATCCAGACTGTATTTCCTTGGGCACATCTAATTAGTAGAAAATGAAATTCAGAGACCATAGTCCAGTTCTAGGGAGCTTTTTCATTCCAGGAGGGTGTTGTTCCTACATATTTATGTAGTTCTTTCATAAAGGTAGATATTTATGTATTTCTTTCATAATGGCTGGTGTTTTCAGGGAAATAATGAGACTTGTTCTTAGACTCTCATGAAATGATAGATAGAAAAGTAAATATTGGGGCTAGAGAGAGGGCTCAGCTGTTGGGAGCACTGGCTGTTCTTGCAGAAGACCCGCATTCAAATCCCAGCACCCACATGGCAGCTAACAACTGTCTGTAACTCCAGTTCCAGGGGATCTGGCAGCCTCTTCTGTACTCTGCAGGCATTGCATGACACAGATGCATTTACCTACATTCAGGCAATACATACACATAAAATAAACTACTAATAAAAAGTAAATATTAATGAATTAAATGAAGTTATTAGTCAGCTTTCTAACACTATGACAAAATACTTGAGAAATTTATAAAGAAGAAAGTTTATTTTGGCTTACTGTTTCAGGAGTTTCAGTCTATGGTCACCTGGCCTTGTTGCTTTTGAACTTGTGGGTAGCACAATATATCCTGATAACAGCACATGGGGAAGAAGTCTATTCACCTCTTAATGGCTGGGAGGCAGAGAAGGGGGAGGGCAGAGTGCCAGGCCCCATTTGAAGACACACCCTCATGTGACTGAGTTTCTCACTAGACTCCACCTCTTAGTGGTTTCTACAACTTTCCAGCAGTGCCAATCTGAGGATCAAGCCTTTAACACATGGGCACCTAGGATATATTCCAGATCCAAGTTACAGCAAAGTAACAAATGGATAAAATGTAGGGTGGCACATAAAGTATTAACTCTGCTGCAGGAAGTGCTCAAGAAATATTTCACTTTCCCAATATCTGTGCTGGATTTAAAAGAAGGCTATGAGTCCAACTGGTTGTATAAGAGATGAAGGACAGAGTCTTTGGAGAGAGGAAAAAGCGCATAAGAAAACACGGACCTAGGAAACAGGAACTGCTGTTGAGCCACCATGACTGAGAGGGAGAATGGCAGTAGATGAAGCAGATCAGGAAAGACAACCTAGGCACCTGCACTGAAGGATTCTGAGTGGAAATAAATAAGAAATGATCTCATGGAGTCTTCAGAATAGCTGGGAAAAACAAGAGCAATATTGGGCAGAGAAATGGCAAATGGTTAAGTTCAGTTTTGACTTTACAGATTTATGCTTATGGAAGTATTTGGCAGATAGTAGGCAGCTAATAGTATTTGCTGAATGAAAGAACAAATGTTATTATATAAATCAAAAGATGATAATAAGTGTAAAGGAAAGACACATACAGGAATAGTGCCTGCATGCTTGTCACTACTTGATCTATCTTCTGGCTTACTCAGTTTTTGCTGTAAGATTTTCATGAACAAAGCAGTAAGGCAAATAACCCAATAGAAAAATAGTCAAAGGATAGTCAATAATAAACTCTCAAAAGCAGAAGGTTAAGTAGGTACATGAAAATCTGCTCAATATCACTGTAACTACCCAGGAAGTACAAGTAGAGTTCAGGTCCTGTGAAATGGGAAAATGTTTCAGTCGGAAGAAAATCTGGATTTAATATGGATGTGACATAAGTAGAACTCACACATGCTGCTGATGGGAGCGTTAGCTGGTAAACCACCATAGAAAGCCATTGGGCAGTCAGCCTTCAGGAAGCCAGAGGAGGCAAGTATCCTTCGATGAGGCATTTCCACTCATATAAATCCTAGAGAACAGCACTCATCAATACCAGAGATATTCAACAATGTTGGTATAATTGTTGATTAAACAAAAATGTACAAAATAACATAAATGTCTCTCAGTAGGAGAATGGATACATTTTGGTGTTTATATAACAGCATAATGTTCAGTATTGGAAGTAAACAAGACAGATCCAAATGAATAAAGCATAAACACAGCTTAGAGAATGATACATATAGACTGATGTTGCTTACATAAAGTTAATTAGTAAAACAATATTATATAATATATATGTACTAACATTAAAATACCAAATTTAAGATCTTGGTTGTTTCTGAGGAAGAAAAGTAAGACGGAAATGGGATTATGAATTTGGAAGTAAACAAGACAGATCCAAATGAATAAAGCATAAACACAGCTTAGAGAATGATACATATAGACTGATGTTGCTTACATAAAGTTAATTAGTAAAACAATATTATATAATATATATGTACTAACATTAAAATACCAAATTTAAGATCTTGGTTGTTTCTGAGGAAGAAAAGTAAGACGGAAATGGGATTATGAATGACAACATGGAATTTCAGCTGTTCTTTCTTTCTTTCTTTCTTTCTTTCTTTATTTATTTATTTATTACTTATTTACTTCCAATGAGACAGGGTCTCCCAGTAGCCCCAGCTGACCTGAAACTTGCTATGTAGACCAGACTGGCCTTTTTATTACTTATTTGTTATTTGTGCGTGCTATGGTGCCTGTGTGGAGGTCAGAGTACAAGCTGCAGGAGTCTGTTCTCTCCTTCCAGTGGGTCCTGAGGATTGAATTCAGGTCTTCAGGCTTGGCAGCAGGTACCTTTACTCTCTGGGTAAACAGAATAAAATTTTGTAAAGCTAGGTAACAGTAAACAAGTTTTTAAAATTCTGATATATTTTTATATATTTCTAGTAAAAAAAATAATCCTTTGTGCCTAGAGACTTTCATAACTGTCTTTATTCTCAAAGTAAAATATTGTCCTAGGACCTAAATAAAAGAACTGTTTTTACAGATTTGACTGATAAATTAGCTCAAAGCTGTTTGATCTTTCAGAAATAACTTCAGGACTGGTGGTTCACACGCTGCCCACAGCAGTTCCAGAGTCTCCTAGGATTCATCTTGCAAGGACACCCAAAACTCCCCGAACACCCCGGTTACAAGATCCTAATAAAACACCAAGATTTTATCCTGTTGTCAAAGAACCAAAAACCATCAATGTAAAGGTAACAGAATCAACCAAGAATGTAAAGCCCATATTTTGTATCCTCTAACATTAAAAAATAAGACTTTTTTGTACACATGCTTTTTTATATGTGTATTTTTAAATTGTAAGAATTCATTTAAAATGATATTTACCATAGTGACACTTTCTTGGGTTAGGAAAGTTCTTTAGGACTGGGTCACATAATTAAAAGATAATCAGAGGTGTAGAGTGAATCATTCTGTGTTGATTTTCTTAAGCTTTGTATTCAAGCCAAGCCAGGATCTTGTTTGTTAATCTTTGTAACTTGTATGTGAGCTGTTGGGGTTTTGTGACTTCATATGATTTCACAATGTGCCATCCATAGTATGAAAATGTATGAGTTGGTTTGTAGTCAGAGGGGTCTTAATTTACTTGTGAAATTCACACTGCTAAAAGAAATTGCAATGTTTGACTTCTTTTTCTTTAGAGTCCAAGAAAGAGGAAAACGAGGCACAGTACAAACCCCCCTTTAGAGTGTCATGTTGGTTGGGTGATGGACTCCAGGGATCATGAACCAAAACCATCCTCTGTCAGGTACCTTGTTTGTCAGACACTGCTTTTTCTATTTTGATTTAAAGTTTGTTGAAAACAGTACAAAATTGAATTTGGAAGTACTTGAAAATTAATATATAACAAATTATAGAACAATGAAAATAAAGAGAAAGCACAGACAGGGAAAGTAGAAGACATCAATGTACAGAGCAATCTGCTCAAACTATAAAGAAAACGGTAACAAGATATTAGAACTTTGTTTTCCTTTTGGGAGGAAACTATTCAGATTATCTATTAGCTGGAAGTACCTTTTTCTTTTAGCTTTAATTTTAAAATGCCCATTTTTTTTTCTTCTTGTCCTCCCCCCTCAAAAATGACCATTATTTAAGGGCTGGAGAGATGGCTTAGCGGTTAAGAGCACTGGCTGCTCTTGCAGAGGACTTGGGTTCAGTTCCCAGCACCCACATGGCAGCTAACAACTGTCTGTAACTCCAGTTCCAAGGCATCCAACCCTTCTTCTAGCTTCCATAGGCATTGTACATACATGGTGCACTTCCAAACCCATGCAAGCAAAACACAAAGCATTCATACGCACAAAATATAAATAAATAAATAAATTTTAAGATCATTATTTGGTCTTTTTGAGACAGGGTTTCCCTGTAGCTCCAGCTGGCCTGGAACTCAGTATGTAGATCAGGCTGACCTTGAACTCACAGAGATCTGCCTACCTCTGCCTCCTGAGTGCTGAGATTAAAGCACCACCATGCCTCAAAAAGACAAAAAAAAAAAAGACCATTATTTGGGGGTGGGGACATGGATCAGTAGTTAAGAGCACTGGCTGCTTTTAAAGAGCACCTGGGTTTGGTTCCCAATACTCACATAGTGGCCAACAACCATCTGTAAATCCAGTTCCAACTGACACCGTTTTCTGGCCTCCTCAGGCATTGCACAACACAGGTGCACTTACATGCATGCAAGCAAACTCATACACATAAAATAAAAATAAATAAATCAAAAATTCTTTTTTAAAAAGTCCATCATATTTAGGGCCTAGTAGTTAAGCAGTAAAGAGCACTGTGTACTCTTTCGTAGGACCCAGGTTCAGTTCCCAGCACCCACATGGTGGCTACCAACTGTTGGTAACTCTAATTCCAGGGGATCTGACACCGCCTTCTGGCCTCCATGGACATTGCATCATGAGGGTGCACACAATACACTCATACACATGGTAACTCTAATTCCAGGGGATCTGACACCGCCTTCTGGCTTCCATGGGCATTGCATCATGAGGGTACATTTACATCAGTGCACACAATACACTCATACACATAAAATAAAAATAAATAAATAAAAATTCAAGACCATTATTTACCTCAAAAATAGGTGAGTGTGAACCATTAGACCGTCAGTGATGCAAGCAGTATATGGTGTGTGCTCTACTGTATGTGGGACACGGAGTGACTTGTGTTTTGTCTATTTAAAACTTGTTTGGGGGGCTGGAGAGATGGCTTAGAGGTTAAGAGCACTGACTGCTCTTGCAACGGACCCGGGTTCGATTCCCAGCACCCACATGGTGGCTAAAAACTGTCCTTAACTCCAGTTTCAGGGGACTCCAAAGCCCTCTTCTGACCTCCGCGGCATTGCATGACACAGGTGCATTCACATACATGCAGGCAATACACTCATACATATTAAAAAAAAAAAAAAAAAAACTTGTTTGGCTCAGTGGGTAAGGACATCTACTGCCAAGTGTGATGACCTGAGTTTGATCCCTGAAACCTGAAGGAGAGAATCAACATCCTATAGGCTATCCTCTACCTTCATATGTGCACCATGCTTTGCACGGGAGTGTGCATACACATAACACTCACAAAATGTATGTTAAAAATTTAAACCTATTAATGTTTGTAGGAGATATTTTCAGAATAATTATGATAGTATTTTTCTGTTTCAAAATTTAATTTGGGGGAACATGATTTCTGACAAGTTATTGGGAGAACAATTTTTTAAAATTAGAAACATTTATTTTGTGTACATGTATATATGTTTGTGGGCATGTGTGTATAGCAGTAAGCATGTGGAGGTCAGAGGACAACTTGAAGTCAGTTCTTTCTACCATGTGGTCCCAGGGATTGCACTTTGGTGGTCAGGCCTGGTAGCAAGCTCCCTTACCTCCTGAGCCATCTTTGTGGCTTCAGCAAAGGTTAATAACTTTATGAAAAGAAATGCTAGGGATTTATCATGTTCTTATTAAATATATTGTCCTTAAAAAATAAAATGAAGCCGGGCATGGTGGCACATGCCTTTAGTCCCAGCACTTGGGAGGCGGAGGCAAGCAGATCTCTGTAAGTTTGAGGCCAGCCTGGTCTACATAGTGAGTTCCAAGCCAGCTCCCCTACAGGGAGAACCTGTCTCAAAAATACTAAAAATAAAAAATAAATAAAAGATAAAATGAATATATGTTGTTCAATACACTTGTGGTATAATAACAGCTGTTTTTTTAGTTCAAAGTGATTTTAAAGATTTGTGTGTGTGTGTCCATCAACATATGACTAAATAACACAATATCATAAATGAACAACAGAGTATAGATGCCATTCTTCTGTGAAAAAGAATGGATTTTTTTTTTTTACAGTGGTTGAATCAAGCCCAGCAACTTAAACATTCTAGGCAATCACTCTACCACTGATATACAGCCTGAGATTTTGATACATGCTATAAGGATGGGCTTTGAAAACAAAGTGAAAGGGTGCTTAATGAAATAATGTAGATACAAAGGGATAAATACTGTAGATCACACTGGTGTGAAATACCTAAAGTAGTCGATTCATAGAGACAGAAAGTAGAATGGAGATCACTTGGGGGTGGGAGGAGTAAAAGCTTAATTCCTGCTTATTAATAAGCACAGCATTGGACATGCTAATGAAGGTTGGAGTGTAGATAGTGGTGATAGTTGCATAACATTGTATTTTAATGCCAGTGAGTTATATACTTATTAATAATGTTTAACATGATAACTTTAGTATATTTGCCTTTTGAAGATCTCCAGAGCACTTCTATTGTAAAAACCTGAAGCGTCCATCCTTTTGTCACACACGAGATGGGCACTCAAGGGTTGTAATTTCATAAAGTTAATTTTTTTGCTTCATCAAGGACATCCAAAAGTGAAGATGAATTTTTTTTTCATTGTAATGCATAGCAGAGATTACTGTCATGAAGAAACATTGGTGCCACAGCTTCAACTTGTGTCAGTATTTTTACATACCATTGCTTTTGTTATATCACCACCATAGATTTCACCTTAAAAGGGCAGTGCCTTAGTGGTACCATGGAAATGCTTTCAGTTTTCTGACTTTTGGAAGGTTAACCTTAACCTCCAGGGCCAGCACTTTGAGAATTGCTGATGTGGATCACTGTCTTAGGAAGATCACTGTGGTTGCAAGATCCAGGAGAGAGAGGATGAATCTAAGTAGATAGAAAGGAAAACCTAAGCTTGAATCATGGGGTCCATGTGGAAAAAAAAAACAAAAAAAGACAAAGACAGTAGATTATTGCAAATGTACATTAGGGAAATGCAGGCATGACTTTAAGAAGGTGAGATTATTCCATTCACTTTGTCAGATTTTATCTCTTATTTCCATGTTTTCACTTTCATCATTAATTACTAAAGTTGAAAATTTCTCTAGTACTATAATGTTGACATTTAAAAACCTAATCTTTCTGGGCACTCAGGCCTTTACATTGGACCTTCCCCGTTCCCAAGCACCAAGAGGTTTTCCATCATTGTTCTAGTACCCTTCTACAGCCCCAGTGTACTTTCACCTGTGCCCTACAGAAAATGTAAATGAACTAATTGAACTTCTAGAAATAAAAATCACAGTTTGGGAAGTTAAAAATTAAAAATTTAAAAACCCTAATCTCAATAATGACAAAAGCATAAATTTCTTTTTCTTTTTTCATATGAATATGTGTGTACATTTGTGCAAGACCACTGTAGCGTGTGTGTGTGTGTGTGTGTGTGTGTGTGTGTGTGTGTGTGTATGTGTGTGTGTTTTGGGAATCTCCCTCAGTCACTCTCTGCCTTACTGGAAGAGTAAATGAGCTACTCAATTATCTTCTTTTATTTAGAGTTTTGGTTAGTTTATGACCTCGTTACTTATCAAGTTCTACATTGTCCTATATTGGCCCGGTATAGCTTTTTTTTTTTTTTTTCTGTCAGTGTGTGCATCATTAGTTAAGGGTTTTCCACTGTTCAGTCAATAATGACAAAAAGATAGCACAAATTATTTTTCTTTTTTTTATGTGGTATGTGTGTGTGTGTGTGTGTGTGTGTGTGTGTGTGTGTGTGCATGTGCATATTTGCTTGTGTGGGGGCACATGTGGACTCAGGCATGTGAAAGACGACAGTTAATGTTCAGAATCTTCCTCATTTACTTTCCACCTTATTCACTGAGGCAGCATCTCTCATTTAAACCCAGAACTTGCCCATATGACTAATCTAGCTTGCCAGCTTGCTACATGGACCTGTTCTCCGCCTCCAGAGGCTGGAAATGAGGCTGCCATGACCATCTGGCATGCACATGAATTCTGGAGATGAGAACTCCAGTCTTCTTGCCTATGTAGCAGGTGTGTTAGCCACTGAGCCTTTTCTCCAGCCCAGTTCTTGCTTGTTGATATTTCAATTTAAAGTCTTTTTCCTCTCCTCAAACAGCAGTTCAAATGCTTCACCTTCAGAAGGTGCACCACTCATGGGAAGCTGTGGGTGCACACCTCACTCATTCCCAAAGTTCCAACATCCTTCTCATGAGCTGCTGAAGGAAAATGGCTTTACCCAACAAGTGTATCACAAGTATCGTCGAAGATGTCTAAGTGGTAAGATGCTTGCCCTTTACCTAGCTATATTTGCCTTACAGTATGATTCTTTTTTTAATATTTTATTATTTTTATTTTATGTGTATGAGTGTGTTGCCTGCATGTACGTGAGTGCACCCATGTCATGCAATGCCGTGGAGGTCAGAAGAGGGCTTCGGATTCCCCTGGAACTGGAATTAAGGAAGATTTTTTAGCCACCATGCAGGTGCTGAGCAGTCATTGCTCTTAACTGCTGAGCCATCTCTCCAGCCCCTCTTACAGTATAATTCTAAAGCCTGAATTATGTCCTTTTATATCTGGCTAAGATAGTTTTTTGTTTTGTTATTTATAAATAAATGCCTTATGCTATTTGTTTTGTTCATATTTATTCTTTATTCATGCTTTTTATAGCTTAAATACATTAGGAAATAAAATTTAGTAATTCTTGTTACTGTTGACAAATGCTTATAATGTGAACAGTGTGTTATA